TATTATTAATTTATTATATATTATAATTTATAAAATTTAATTTTTTAAAATAACATAAATTTTTTATATATAATTATTTTATATTTTGAAAAATAATTATTTGAACACGAACGAACGCATCACAGTTCGTGTTTGGTTCGTTTAACTAACCAAACAAAAATTGAATGAATAAATTTTGTTCGCGTTCGTTTCGTTAACTTATCGAACGAATTTAAAACGAATTTGTTGACGAACCGAATACGAAGTCTTTGCAAACAAAGAGCTTTTTTTTTTTTTTACAGCTCTACATATATATCAATTTAGAAATGGGTTATTTGCAAATATACCTTCCCAAATATTATATATTTACGTGTCTAACGTCCAAGCTTCCATTCCAATTTTCCTTCAAACCCTAACCACTTTCCATATCAGAAAACCGGCGATGGGGAACTGCCAGACGGCGGAGGTGGTGACGGTTATGATCCACCATCCCGGCGGCGGGATCGAGAGGGTCTATTGGCCTCTAACCGCCAGCCAAATCATGGCCTCCAACCCCGGCCACTACGTCGCCATCATAATCACTTCCCAAACCCCCACCGCCACTCTATCGGCCGCCGCATCTCCGGTGAAACACCTCAAAATCCTCCGCCCCAAAGATACCCTTCAAATCGGCCATGTTTATCGACTCGTCAGCTTCGAAGGTCCGCACTTCTTCTCTCTCTCCGATTTTGCCCTAATTCGAATTCGTAATCGCTATGTTCGGATTGGATTCAGAGGTTTTGAGGGATTTCGCCTCGAAGAAGCACATCAGGCTCAGCAGATTGCTTCATGCCGCCAAGGAGAAGCGGAGGAGCCGATCAAATAGAGGCGAAGGGGTTTCGCTGGCGGACGCCGGCCAGATCTCGGTTCCGGCGACGGTGCGGTTCGAAACATAAACTCAAATGTATTGAAATTAGGGTTTTGAGTTTCAGTTTTTTTCTTGATTTCTGTTTAGCTGAGTTTAAGCGAGTTAAGATTCACCTCATACACTGCTTATTAAAATATATTATTATTAGTATTCAGCTAATGCCACAAAATTATTCGTGTTCAGCTCATTTATATGGAGAAAATATTGCGTCAGGAGTCCGGATGCAGCATGCGTCCGAACAACGGACGCGATTCACGGGGAGGTCATTTTTTTTCTTTCCTCTGCTTCGTCCGTGCATCGCATCCGTCGTCCAGACATAGCTCGCGCATAAACTCCAGACATAATATTTTTTTTTCATTTACATAATGATCGGCTCTAGGGGCAAAACTAAGGCTGTCAATTTGGCTCGTTGTTCGTGAACAGCTCGTGTTCGGCTCGTTACGAGGCGAACACGAACAAATTTTTAAGCTCGAAATGTAAACGAGCCGAAATTCGCTCGTGTTCGGCTCGAAATGGCTTGAAAAAAAAAAGTATATAACTTTTTATATAACAATATATTACATATATTATTTATATAATAATATATTATATATATTTATGTCTAAGTTTAAATCATAACACCTCATGTGACAATGTGGTTAGTTTCTTTTTTTGTATAGATTTGATCCAGGTTCGAATCCCGCACTTTACATCTATTTTTCTCAATTTTAGTTTAACAAGTCAATTTCGAGCCGAAAACTAACACGAATATTTAAATCGAGTCGAACACAAACACACTGTTCACGAGCCTATTTTGAACACGAGCTGATTTCGAACACGAGCTGATTTCGAACACGAGTTAACGAGCCAAGCCTGAGCTCGCTCAAGCTCGACTCGTTTACAGCCCTACATATAACTTTCATAGCAAAACTCAACTCCCTCTCGACTCCATATGGCATGGGTTAGCACAAAAAAAAATAAAATAAAATTGATATTTCAAGAGGGACAAAATTGATATTTAATGAATGCAAAAAAAAAATAAAAATCATCGTATAAATAAAAATTTGAATTTACCAGCTAGATTTAAATATTATAATTAATCTCAAAAAAGTTATTTTTAATAAAAGTTAATTTATTTTTATTATATTTTTAATTAATAATTAAATTATTTTATATTCATTTTTAAAACATAACTCGTAAAGATTAATGTCTAGGTGGTACATAAATAAATAAATAAAAATTGAGTGCTGACATGTAAATTTCCGTTAAAAATAATCCTTCTGTCTTAACGCCGGTTAGTTTATGATATTTGTTTTGCTCAGGCGATGGCTGCAGATGGAAAAGGCAACGGTCATGCGGCGGCGCCACCGCCTCGGATGCGGCAATGGAGGCCGGCGTTGCAGAGCATTGAAGAGGAGTTCTACGGCTCTTAAACTCACCGGTAACTTAGCCGCAAATAGTATAGATTATAGTAGTAGAAAATGCGTGGAATCTCTGCTTAGTTTTAATTTTAGCACTTCATGTATGTACATGTAATATTAATTTTATGTAATTTTAATTATGTATTTATATATTAGACCTTACGAATTGTCATGGTGGTCTATTTGGAGTTGACAGGTAGATCTGACCTTTGATGAGTGGAGCTGGAAAGGAGCTGAATATGGACATAAATTGTAAAGCTGTAATAATTGATTTTCATAAGAAATGTGATATTTAGATATTTCAGACATATTGTTATGTCAGACTCTCAAGATGGATATATGCGTGTATGTTACGTTTAATGGAGGTAAAAAAGGTCTAAGGGAGCACCTGTAGTTCTAGTCATAAGTTGAGATCGAGTTCATCATTTGAGCCCGTCTCGAGCCCAAGCTTGAATTTTGACGAACAAGTCTATTAGCTTGTGTTAAGCACCAGTCAAGCTCCACTCGACTCGTTTACACTCTTCCATGAATTCAAAAAAAAAAAAAAGGAATTGCTACATCCTAGACCTCCCTCTGAAGCCAGCCGAGAGTTGTGGCGGATGAGATACCGACTCTGGTGGACTCTAGTGTCACGAAACCCATAAATGAGCATCGACAATGATGGATGGGGGTTCCCTTCTTCCCGTTTCTCAAGGAGCCCAAAGGATTGTTCAACAATTTCATTGGTGTGACTGAAAGAGTTCGTGCGAGCTCGGTGGGAGAGCTCGCCAAATCCTTCTGAGAGGCGGGCGCCATAACTGTGATTTGCAAAATGCTTCCGGCCAGGCTTTAGGTGTGCGACAAATGGGATTGTTTCAACATGCCCCAAAAGGACTCATTTAGTATTTAGACTTTCCCATTAGTTTGGAATGTACAATACACATATTATGTTAAGCAATATGAGAAATATCACATTGGAATATCTAAAGAGAAGTACATTATGATGACACGTGTCACTCTTTTCACAACTTCTACTTCTTTCTATTAATATTAGAAGGAAATAGATTAAAAAAATAAAAGCTTAAATGCCGAGCTCAGCAATGCTCGGCAATGTTGGCTTCCATTGGCTTTGTCTCCAAAAGCTGCGGTTAGGTCTCCCTCCAATATAGCTAGTGCTGAGCCCCACATTCTACATCCCAAAAAAGACATTTTTATCATCATCAGCCGTTCATTCGAGATCAAGCGGTAGGGGTGTATATGTTTGATACAAATGGGGAATCTTGCGCCAAAGTTGAAAACTTTTGGTGGCATTTACATTCATACCACTAAAATCCTAAGAATTTACATATATAACTTCTTGATTTTTCCTTTTAAATTTATATCACCTTAAGAAAATTTCATATTAAAGCAAAAATACCACTTTTTTTAATTAATAAAGAAAATTAAATTCATTGCATACAACCCTTTTATGTATTTACATAATTCACACCTAAACTGACATATTTGCATATATATCATTTTTGTGTTTTAAGTCTATATATGAAAAAAAATTATTTTTTTTAATAAAATAATAATAATGTCATTTTTAATATGATATTAAAATTTTGAATGTTAGGTGTTTTGGTGTGAGATATATTAATACCTTAAAATTATGTGTTGTATGTAAATCTTCCATTTTTTTATTGTACATTTAACTCATTTATTTATTGACTTGTACGTATTTGGATATTTATATAAATATTGTATGATTTTCAAATATTTATTCCCTTGCAAATAATATGAGGATATATATATATATATATATAAATATA